TCGCTACAGTATGTGACGCTCACCTCTGGCCAACAGTTCGATTTTAGCGTCTCCGATCTCCGCAGGACTCTGGAATTCGGCTCTCCGCATGGCATGCAAAAGCGAAGGATTTAAGGTGTGTGTGAGAAAAGGTAATTTGTCAGGAACACAGCTATTTGCGGATTATGCTGCTGACATAACAATCATCTTCCTCTTTTGTGACTTTTGTCAGTGAGTCACAAGGCAGTGACAAACTGTTCCTCCCCGAGTTCCAGATGGATGCCAAAATGTATAGATAGAGCAAATTTCAGACAAGGGTTGTCTAAGGGGAAAAATGGTACATCCACAGGCTGGCAGGGCCTTTATGAAGTCTGACTGCATCACTGTAGATATAAAACTAGGGGAGACATGATAGCAGTCTTCCGATATCTCAGGGGCTGCCCCAAAGAAGAGGGAGTCAAGCTATTCTCCAAAGGACCTGAAGGCAGGACAAGAAGCGACGGGTGGAAACTAATCAAGGAGAGAAGCAACCTTGAACTAAGGAGAAATTTCCTGACCGTGAGAACAATTAATCAGTGGAACAACTTGCCACCAGAAGTTGTGAATGCTCCAACACTGGGAGTTTTTAAAAAGAGGTTGGATAACCATTTGTCTGAAGTGGTATCGCCAAGCCTTACTCCCAAGTCGACCCTGTTTTCTTAATTGTTCTTTTCTTCTGGCAGCTCTGCGCATGCGCACACCGGGAACAGGCTCCCGCTATTCTTCTGCCTTGTTGATGTCAGACTCTGGAGGCTCCACATAACCATCAGATGGCCTTGGCCCCCATCTCTGCCTCCGATGCAGAGCCCTCGTCCGAGCTTTTCCCACCTCCCTGGACTGGCCCAAGTTCCTCTCCAACCTCCTCACTGTCCAGGTCTGCTGGCCACCGGAAGGCCACAACAGCCTTCAGCTCAGGAGGCTCCCTTCCAGCCTGGAATTCTTTAATGAATCCAAGTCTTTGTATTTTCCAAATTGGGAGAATCAGTTTCCAGATGACGACATAGAGTGGGTGCGGTGGCCTAGAGGTGGAGCTCTGGCCTCACAATTAGGGGGGGCTGTGAGTTCGATCCTAGGTAAAGGCAGATATTTCTCTCTCTGGGGCACAATGAGAAATTTATCTGCCGAACAAAACTCCGTACTGGAGACACAGAAAGGCATCCGGCCATTCACACTCCTGTACCTCCATTCAGTTGCCTAGATTCCACCTCGCAAGGGATTATGGGGTTGTTAAATGGTGACGAGTTACCAGATGACGACACTGACTTGAATTGCACTGGATAAAGTTCTGAGTTTTTAAGAAGGTAGCGAAAGCACCCCTGAGTGCAATTTCTAACTGCCACATTGGGGTCATAATGGAAACACCCCCCCCCACCCCCCAACCCAGCAAAACCTTGTTCTATACTTAATTATCTGGCAATCCCTTTCCCCCCGGGTGACATGAGTTCTGTCAATGCAAGCGCTTAGCCTTGTACCCCTTCTCACTTTTATGTGCGGCTGAATAAAATCCTTTGGCATTTTATAAGAGAGAGAGGTGGTGGTGGTGGGGGGAAACATGTACACACACCCCTCCATTCACCGGGACTTAATTTCCATCTAATAAACATGCTGAGGACTGCAGCCTAAAACATAAAGGAATCCTATCCAAACCTTGGGAGCGCTAAGCAAGTTCTATTTAGCGAGAGCAGTCCTGTAATTTGGTCTATTCTTTTCTTAGCTTCAGGAACAAGTTGTGCCTGGTAAGGTTTTTTTTTCCCTCTCCTTTTGTTAAGTGTTCCTTGAATTTTAATTCTTTGGACATGCACTCAGATGTCTCACTGAGCTGAAGTGAGCCGGCCTCGGCTACCTTGCTTTGAAAGGCTTTTCGCTTGGTACGGTTCCATTTTGCCCTTCGGCCAGGATACGAAGATAATCCATCTTTTAAATGCTTAAAGCGGGGGGGTCCTTCGGATTTCTGCAACTTTGCTTTGGATTGCTTCAAACCTCCTAAGGTCAAATTACTCATCTTGTATCTTGAGAGTAATTTAACAGCTTTTTTTTTTTCTTCCCTTCGCTCTCGCTGAATAAAAAAGGTAGAAGAAAGGAGGAGGAGGAGGGAGGAGGAGGAGAAAGGCATAATTGCGAACTGTGAATCAGCTGGGAAGGGTAATTAATTCAGCCTTGGGAAGAAACCTACAGCATTAACTAACCTGGGTTTCCCCCCCCCAATCCAAAAAAAGGAAAAATAGTAACTTTCTGAGACGGGTAGGAAGGAGGTCAGAAATTCTGCAGAATTTCATCATTTTTGTCCATTCAATAAATCTGGTTTCCATTAGGAAAAAACTCCAAGTCTCTAAATCAGGAGGAAAAAAAATGCATAATTGCTCGATTGGTTTGAAGCTCCAAATCTCTAAATCAGGAGGAAAAAAAATTGCATAATTGCTCGATTGGTTTGAAGCTAATGTCTAAATCCAGAATCGTTTCTGAATTGCATCCCCCCAAATCCTGTCCTATGACCGGTTTCTGCCACCCCTGTATTTAGTTGGGTTCCCATAACCCAAGGGTTGGCAATCTTAAACATTCAAAGAGCTGTTTCCCACAGAAAAGAAAACATCGGGAGCCACAAAACCCTTCCCGTGCCTATTTCCTGAGTGGCCACAAAACTAGCATATGTAGTTGAATTAAACGTTCTGTTTTCTTCTGAAACTTTCCTTTTCTTGGATTTATCCAGGGTTGGCCTACCGGGGTCGAAAAGCTCAATAAATCGCGTGCTGGCGGGTGTCGCACATTTTGAGTGACAGGGAGCCGCAGCAGAGGGGCGAAAGAGCCACATGCGGCTCCAGAGCTGACCCTTGCCATAACCTCTATGCAGAGAGATAGGGTATTCCCCCAAGCAAATACGGGATAAAATGTGATTGCGATCAAAGTAAAATAGAGCCCGCATGAAAAATAAAAGGAAGGCTTGGAGAATAATTCAGAACTGGCAAGGGGATGCAGGTAGTCCTTGATTTATGGTCACAGCTGAGACCAGAATTTCCATGGATAAGCAATTGTTAAGTGAGTCACGCCTGATTTTACGACCTTGTTTTGCCACAAATTTGGTTGTTCCAAAGCTGATTGGAAGGTCACAAATAGCAGCCACATGACCTTACAACCATCATAAATACATGATGATGGCCAAGCCCCTTAATTCTGGTGAGGTTGTGACCTAGGCTTCCTGAATCATTAAAACTCACGAGTAGTCCCAAAAACCTCTTTGGTTGCAACAGGTGTGAATTACGTTCATTCACAGCTGAGTCACAATTAGTTGCAAAATGTCCTTCAGGAGAAGTCCTTCAGGATAATCACCAACCTTTATCTCTCTTGACACGCTGCCAAAGACCTACTTGGCAAAGCTACACGGAGTCCAGAATCAAACAGAGATGCCGACTGGGAACAGAAATAACAACGTTGCTTTCCTGCAAAGGGCCCACGTGTCTTTGCTCCTCTTTTAAGCCTTATGGGAGGGGCCAATTATCTCCAGGCCTTACTCCCGAGTCGTCCCTTTTGTTTTAACTGTTTTTGCCTTCTGGTAGCTCTGTGCATGCGCACACTAGGAACAGGCTCCTCCTGTTCCTCTGCCTCTCTGATGTCCGACTCTGGAGGCTCCGGAGTCTGCGCATCACTCCCAGATGGCCCTGGCCCCATCTCTGCCTCCGACGCAGAGCCCTCGTCTGAGCCTTCCCCAGACTCCAGGACTGGCCCGTGTTCCTCCCCAGCCTCCTCACTGTCTGACTCCACTGCCAGCTCACCAGGCTGCTGGCAGACCACAAACAGGTGACATGGTTTGTGGGGAATGCTGCCACGGTTGTAAGTGCGAGGACTTAGTCACTTTTTTCAGGGTTTAACTTTGAAAGGTCGCTAAAAGAATGTTTGCAAAGCAAGGGCTATTTGTAAGACATAATGTTCCCTTGGTTATCTAATGGATAAATGTAGAACGAATACTTGTGGATCTGGAAGCACATTCAGATGTTGCACTGTTGTTAGCTAAGAACCCAATGTTTGTGCTAAACTGTATAATGAACAATTCAAGAAACTAGGTATGAGCAGTCCAGCGATGGCTAACCTTTTTGCCATCGTGTGCCAAAAGAGGGGGATTGTGGGACGGTCGCGTGTGTGCCCACACCGATAATTTTATATGCCCTGCTCCCCTGCGCATGTGCGCGACCCCCCCTTCCCGTGTTCCCCCCGCTTTTGGCATGTGATGGCACAGTGGACCCGGTAGGCCTGTTTTTTGCCCTCCCCAGGCTCCAGAGACTTTCTAGGAACCTGGGAAGGGCGAAAATAGCCTTCCCCACCACCCCCGGAGGCCAGAAACAGCCCCTTTGCTGACTTCCGGTGGGCCCAGAAGGCCCGAAAATCAGCTGGCCAGAGTGTGCATGTTGCCCAAGCTGAGCTAGGGCAACACTCGCGTGCCCACCAATATGGTTCCATGTGCCACCTGTGGCACGGTGCCATACGTTCACCATCATGTATCTAGTCTACTGAAGAGAAGGATTCGGGGAAACATGTCACCTGCCTCCACTACTTGAGGGACTGTCTCACAGGGTAGAGTCAGCTTCGTTTCCAAAGCACCTAAAGGCAGGACAATGGGTGGAAAATCATATTTTCAAGAAGAGATTGAACAGCCATTTGTCCGGAATGGTATTGGATCACCTGTTTGAGCAGGGGGTTGGACTAGAGGACCTCCAAGGTCCCTTCAAACCCTATTATTCTATGTTCTATTTGTAAGAATAATAATAATAACTTTTATTTGCGGTCACAGACCAAAATACAAGTATTTGCAAGAAATAGATGGGAGGATAGACGGCGACTAAGACTGTGGATCTAAAAATCTCTGCTGCCATCTAGTGGCTGCCAGCTTCTTGCACTCAAGACCTGGTAATGAAAATCCTCCAGAAATGTCAAAATTGGATCTCCAAGCTGGAGTGGCCTTTTCATAAAATCTTACCAAGCAGAAATCTTACCCAAAATTTGGAGTAGAACAGGTTTCTCCTCAGGCATTCGACCCAGCGACCTTGCTTCATATCTCGGGGCAATCAGTGATGTGCTTTTGTCATTTTTGTGTCCGTTCCTTTCTCCTGCCGCTGATTGCGTTGCTGTTCCATCACCGTCTATGCTTAATTATGCTGAGATGAGAAACGGAAAGGCAAGCACATTTTTCAAATTAATTATCATTGTGAAAAGGCGAGAGGGGCTCAGTTGTGCAATTAATTTGGGGGGAAATATAAATTGGTTTCTGTAAACTATCCTGTATAGGAAGTCCTCAATTTACATTTGCAATGGCACTGAAAAAAAGTGACTTATAACCAGTTATCATACTTATAGGCCGTATTGTAATATCCTCAGGATCATGTGATCAAAATTCACAACTGACTCATATTTGTGATGGTTGCTGTGCCCCAGGGTCACACACAATCCCTTTTTGCGACCTTCTGACGAGCAAAGTCAATGAGGAAGCCAGATTCATTTAACAACAGTTTGATAGATAGCTTTATTGATTAGCCTATAGGCCAGTGATGGCTAACCTTTTTGCCACCGTGTGCCAGGAGCAGGGTGGGGGTGGGGGGGTCGTGCTCGCGTGCACCCACACCCATAATTCTATGCACCCATCTGGTCCCATTTGAAGTTGGCAAACAGGCCGTTTCTGGCCTCCAGAAGGCCTCTGTGGGGATGGGGAATGCTGTTTTCGCCCTCCCCAGACTCCTAGAAAGGCTCTAGAGGCTTGGGATAGCAAAAAATGGACCTTCCGGTCCCATTGGAAGTTGGCAAATGGGCCATTTCCGGTCTCCGGAGGGCTTCCGAGGGGAGGGGGGAGGCTGTTTTGGCCCTCCCCAGACTCCTAGAAAGGCTCTGGAGGCTGGGGACAGCAAAAACGGGCCTTCCAGTCCCACCGGAAGTTGGCAAACAGGCCGTTTCTGGCCTCCGGAGGGCCTCCGTGGGGGTGGGGAAGGCTTTTTTCGCCCTCCCCAGACTCCTAGAAAGGCTCTGGAGGCTGGGGACAGCAAAAAATGGGCCTTTCCGCCACCCCACCCACCCGCCCCGAGGTCCTCTGGAGGCAGGGAACAGCTTGTTTCACTACTTCTGGTGGGCCCGAAAGCCCGAAATCAGGTGGCCCGGAGCTGAGCTCGCGTGCCCACTGATATGGCTACACATGCCACCTGTGGCACGCATGCCATAGGTTCACCATCACGGCTATAGGCCATATCAAAGCACTAAGTTCAAACCAATAAAATCCTATCTAACAACAGTTGGGAGAAATTTAACAACTAGTGATTCATTTAACATCTATGGGAAGAAAGGTGGTGAAATGGGCCAAACTCACTTAACGTTTCACTTAGCACAGAAATTTTGTGCTCAATTTTGGTCATAAGTCAAGGAGTATCTGTAGTTTTTTAAAAAATGCTTTGGGAGCACATTATTCCTCGATCATTGAAGCATTGCTTTTAATACAATTGTAATACAATTTTTCTTTTTTTTAGAAATTAGGAAGTTTCATGAGCCTATTCGAAGAGCCAGTTTAGTGTAATGGTCAAGGTAGTGGTTTAGAAACCAGGAGATGCGAGTTCTAATCCCACCTTAACCATGAAAGCTAGCTGGATGACTTTGGGCAACTCTCTCAGCCCAACCTACCTCACAGGTTTGGGGTTGTGGGCAAAAGAGAAGGAAGGAAGGAGAAGAAGGTATTCTTCAACTTACGACCGAAACTGAGCCCAAAATTTCTGTTGCTAAGTGAGACATTTGTTAAGTGAGTTTTGCCCCCATTTTATGACCTTTTTGCCACAGCTGCTAAGTGAATCACTCCATTGACATGGTTTGTCAGGTCGCAAAAGACGAAGACATGATCCAGGATGCTGCCACCGTCATAAATATGAGTCAGATGTTGTCAAACATCTGAATTTTGATCGTGTAACCATGGGACTGCTGCAACAAGTCCTAAGTGTGAAAAAAATGGTCATAAGTCACTTTTCCCGGCGCCGTTGTAACTTCAGTCATTAAAAGAACTGTTGCACATCGAGGACTACCTCCATGACCTGTAATAAAGGCAGGATAAAAAAAAATCTAATTAATAAATAATAATGGTATGAAGGCAGGATAAAGGGAAATACAAATAAGACAATGAGCTCAACGTTGCTTCCATGGGGGTTTTAGCCCCACAAAGGGTCCCATGAGGTCAGCATAACCAAGAGAGAGAGAGAGCAATACTGCCCCTCCACAGAAATTCTCTTTTTTTATGACCTTCCATGGAGGAGACTGAACTCGAACCCAAGACTCCCTGCTCCTAAACCAACATTTTTTTTAGCCCCTACATCAAACTGGCTCTCAAACTGACTCAACTAACCCCATTTTGCTGGCTTCCCAGGGCTCAAAAGCCCAGGTAAGCAACATTCAACAAACCTACATTCCAACTAACCAGGACTAGCTGGTTTAAACCCGGTTTAAAGCCTTCCACAAGACCAGCTCCAGGGAAAGGAGACACAAGGCCTTCTGCTTCAACCTGCTTCTTGCTAGTTACCCAAAACAGGGGTGAAAATGGCTGGGCCCCCCTTCTCTCCCATTCGGCAGCCATTTTTTTTTTTGAGGCCCCCAAATGAATATACACTCAAAATAAAACACTTCAATAAATAAAAGTTTGGTGGGAAAAGGACAGCCCTTATTTCTGCAGTATTGGTGAAACTTCATCACCTTGTTGCACTTAAATTTCCCTCCCTTTTTAATTTCATTTCGTTCACATTTTGGCCAACGTGGGGCCTTCTCCGCCTCGGGTACACCTTCAAATTGGCGGGAATTTTTCAGGTTGCCATGGCGATGAAGCGAACATGCGAGTGCGCAGGCGCGTATGTGGTCGCCATGGCGATTAGGGGACTCGTTTGGTGAATTAAGAAAAGAGCGCCGGCTGCGCTTTCTGATTACGTCATCTAGAATCATAGATTTACGAAAATAGATAGATAACAATATAGATAGATAGATAACTATAGATAGAACAGTTTATATAATTATGTTCCGAGTTCACTTAGAGAATATATTTTTTTGGTCGCAGAGTTTTCGCGCTGGAAATAGTATACTGACTTGTACATTATGAGGATTTATAGGTATTATATACTATGTATTATATTATATAATTCATCATATTCATATGTATTATATGAATGGTTGAACTCGTTAGAACACGAGACCCAATTATTCGAATTTAGAGGGTCTCTTTCGGAATGTACGGGGTCGGGAAAAGTCGACACCGGCTTAATGGGGCACAATTAGCCAATTAATTCCCTAATAGACAGATTGCAATTGATCTGCATTAAAAACAACGCTAAAAACGACGTTGAATGAAATTGACTCCTAATCCCGGAAAGTCGCATTTCTGAACATCTCTCCACTTTCGTTACTCTATAAGGGGGGGAGAATAATAATCTGATGACGTCAAAGGCCGCGCCGCGGCGACAGCGGATGACGCCTGAACTCAGCGACGATGACAGATAGGAAGAAGCGTCGCGCTGTTTTTTTCTTTTCGCGATGCCGTTGGAAGCCGGGCCGGCTCGCCTTGTCCGCTCGGCCCAGAAGGACGAGCTCTACCGGGGAGCGCTGAAAAGCAGAGCCGGCTCCGTCTTCTCCGGCCTAGCGGGTGAGGCGCCTCCGCCTTCTCTCTTCCCCCCACCCTCCCCAGAGCCGTTTTCGGGGCTTTTTGCCTTAAAATTCAAATTTAAAATGAATTTATTGAAATAAATACAATATTGATATATATTGATAAGCCAGGTGGGCCTAGGAAACAAAATCCCGGAGAGATTTTGTGTGAGAGAAAGAACAAAGCAAAGACCCTTTTCAGAGTTTCAGATTTTGTCGTTTCATCAATTATAATAAATATATAAATATAATAAATAAAATAAATAAATAAAAAATAATAAATAAAATAAATAAATAAATAATAAATAAATAAATAATAAATAAATAATAATAAATAATAAACACCCCAAAATACAAAAGTATTTTATTTTATTTTTATAAGTAACTCAACATATTCAATAAATATTCCTTCTTTCTCTCTCTCTTTTTTTTTTTTACCCACAACAACAACCCTGTGAGGTGGGCTGGGCTGAGAGTGTGTGACTGGCCCAAAATCTGGCTTTCATGCCTAAGGCAGGACTAGAACTCGCAGCCTCGCATTTTCCAGTTAACCACTGGACCAAACTGGCATTATTATTATTATTGTTGTGATTATTTTGACTCCATATTTTACTTATATTATTTACCTGTTATTAGCCAACATATAAAAAGTTGTATAGTGTGTGTGTGTGTGTGTATACTAATCCAAAATATATTATCTGAAAATAATATATATTTTAAGTTCCGGAGATTGTGATGTCTGCCTCTTCTGTATACATACATTGCGATCTCCAGAACTTAAAATATATTATTTTCGGATAATATATTTTGGATTAGTTCCGGAGATCATGATGTCTGTCTCTTCTTTTATAGCTACACCTGGAACTCGTATTTTTAGGATAGTTTGAGATATATATAGAATATATATATGTATGTGTGTGTGTGTGTGTGTTATAAATGTATACAAATATATATATATACATTTATATACACACTATATACTATATATATATATACTAAATACTAAAACACTATATATATATATATAAGATCTTGATTTACGTAGGAAAAACCTGGCTGAGACTAATACACATAAACACCTACAAAAAGAGAATTATATATATATATATAATATATATATATATATATATATATATATATATATATATATACACACACACACACAACACACACACACACACACACATACATATATATATGTGTGTGTGTGTGTATTTTTCCTCTAGCCAGGTTTTTCCCTACGTAACCAAGGTTTTTCTGGAGCCCTACCTCAGTAGAATCATATCCACTCGATTCTGGGCTTTTTTCTTTCTGGCAGCCAGCAAGTTCTTGCTAGCTGATGAGAGCTAAATAGCTTGAAATAGATGTATAGTAGTCTCCCTTTATTTCTTTATCAGCAAATATATATATATATATATATATATAGTATATATATATATATAATATACACACACACATATATATACACACACACATATATATACATATATACACACACCACACACACACACAACACAATATAATAGAATGGAACAGTGTTGCTTTTTTCTTGTCGTGTAATTCCATATATTCTGGCTCCTTAGGTGCTAAAATTTGGCTGGAATGGCAGAAAGAGATCGAACTCCTCGCTGACGTTGCCTATTTCACCCTTACTACCCTTTCAGGTAATGATTCTACCTAAATTTTTGCTAAATTTCTGATCGTTTCAAGTTTACTGAAAATTAGAGGAGTCCCGTCAAGTCTGACCCTGTGCTTGGGACAGGAATCTAAGATTAAAGCAGCTGAAATAGATGACTGTCCAACCATATGTCATAAATACACCTAACTCCTTCTTGTTTCATTTATATCTATTCCTTCTTCGTTCTTGATTGCTTGTCAGGAGCAATATATTTTTAATAAAGAGCTGTGGTGGCGCAGTGGTTAGAATGCAGTACTGCAGGCTACTTCTGCTGTTGAGACTCTAGAAAGAGTGCAGAGAAGAGCAATAAGGATGATTAGAGAGAGGCTAAAACATATGAAGAACGGTTGCAGGAACTGGGTATGTCTAGTTTAATGAAAAGAAGGACTAGGGGTGACATGATAGCAGTCTTCCAATATCTCAGGGGCTGCCCAAAGAAGAGGGAGTCAAGCTATTCTCCAAAGCACCAGAAGGCAGGACAAGAACCAATGGCTGGAAACTCATCAAGGAGAGAAGCAACTTAGAACTAAGGAGAAATTTCCTGACAGGGAAAACCATTAATCCGTGGAACAACTTGCCACCAGAAGTTGTGAATGCTCCAACACTGGAAGTTTTTAATTAGAATTAGATTTTTTTCATATTGGCCAAGTGTGATTGGACACACAAGGAATTTGTCTTGGTGCATACGCTCTCGGTGTACATAAAAGAAAAGATATTAAGAAGAAATTGGATAACCATTTCTTTGAAGTGGTGTAGGGTTTCCTGCCTAAATGGGGTTGGACTAGAAGACCTCCAAGGTCCCTTCCAGATTCTATTCTATTCTATTCTATTCTATTCTATTCTATTCTATTCTATTCTATTCTATTCTTATTCTTATTCTTATTTTCTATTCTTATTCCCTCTATTTCGTTCTATCCCTTATTCTACTCTAATCCTATTCTATTCCATTCTGCATTCTATCCTTTCCTATTCTATTCCATTCTAAAGCTGCGTTCGTAATGATCTCTTCAGGGTTTCTGTCGTTGATTGCCTTTTTTCCCCCCTTTCAGGTTATCAACCCTTGGTGAAGAATACGTCAACGTGATCCAAGTAGACCCATCAAAGAGGAAGGTCCCTTCGTTAAGACGCAGGGCCCTTTCGATCGCTCTGCACTCCGTCTTGCCTTACTTGTTAGACAAGGGACTGACCACGCTCGAGCAGGAGCTCGAGGCGGTCTCCAGCGGGTTACAGATTCCGCACCGCCGAACTTTAAGCGCGTCGCAAAGCCGGGCGCTACTCCGAAGCTGGTTGCAGAAACGGGTCAGACGATTAACCGAGTGGCAGAGATCGTTTCTCGCTCGGGCTGTCCGTCTCGTCAAGCAAAGCATCCCGTTTCTCCGGAGGTTCATTTAGCTGTCTTTTATATGAACGGCATCTTCTACCATTTCTCTAAACGGACGACGGGGATCACATACGTGAGTCGGTTCCCGCGTGCTCCTGTTTCTAAATTGGGCGCCATCGCGGATGTAGAGAAGGAGGCTTAATCAATTTAAGTCAATGATGCCATCGTGGTGGTGTTTTTTTTCTTTCTGGAATGTTGGGGGGAAAAATGGGGATGATACGTATTCCAGTACTTAACTTGAAATACGTAATTTGCTTCCTTTTCATCGGAAAAGCTCCTAAATCACTTCTGGCATAAAAATTATCGAGGGATGATTTAGAGAGCCAGTTTGGTGTAGTGCAGGGGTCGGCAACTTCAAACCCTCAAAGCACAAAAGTCCTAACCGGAATCCCCCCCTTTCAATTCTGGAGCCGACCGAAGTCTGGTTCCTCCACCATAGAGTCTCCTCCTAGTGCGGCGTCCTTTTTCCTCTACCTGTCCTAACCAAAGCCTTATCAATTGTGAAGCCGACTGGAAAACCCACCCCCTTGCCATAAAGTCTCCTGGCATTCCATGCTTCCCCCTCCACCAACCGGAAGCTCCTCTCAAAATTGTGGCGCCAACCAGTAACGGAGCCGCAGCAGAGGGATGAAAGAGCCACATGCGGCTCCAGAGCCATGGGTTGCGACCCCTGGTGTAGTGGTTAAGGTGCTTGCTGGTCTTGAAACTAGGAGACTGTGAATTCTAGTCCCGCTTTACAGATGAGAGCAGCTAGGTAACTTTGAGAACAGTCGCTTTTGCCTCAGCCCACCTCACAAGGGTGGCTGTTGTAGGGAAAAGAGGAGAACGGAGGAGTACTAGGTATGTTTCATCATCTTTTAACAACCCCATAATCCCTTGCGGGGTGGAGTCTGGCCAACTGAATGGAGCTACCATGTTTCCCGAAAATAAGACCCTGACTTATATTTTTTTGAACCCTGAAATAAGCGCTTGGCCTTATTGCCATGCGCTCAAAAGCCCAATTGGGCTTATTATCAGGGAATAATGTCTTATTTTGGGGGAAACACAGTATCAGAGAGTTTTAATGGCCGGATGCCTTGCCTGTCGCCAGTGCGGAGTTTTGTTCAGCAGATATATTCTCAAGTGTGCCCAGAGAGAGAAATATCTGCCTCTACCGAGGATCGAACTCACAGCCTCCTGGTTGTGAGGTGAGAGCTCCACCTCTAGGTCACTGCACCCTCCCTAATATTTTTTAATTATGATTTAATTGGTTTACATGCCGCCCTTCTCCGGAGACTCAGGGCGGCTTACAATGCTTTAAGCAATAGCCTTCATACTTTTGTATATACCTGCTTAGTAGGGCTTTCAGGGGCCCCCCTAAGTGGTGTTCTATTTTATACATAAGTCAGCTTATTGCCCCCACAAACCGGGTCCTCATTTTACCTACCTGGAAAGGATGGAAGGATGAGTCAACCTTGAGCCTGGTGAGAATTGAACTCGCAGTAATTGCAGCAGCTGGCAGCTAAATACTACTTTAACAGTAGTTTAGTCCATTGCACTACCAGGTTCCTCAACCAATCAATCAATAAATCAATATCAGGAGTGGGTCAGCTGCCCTGCTCTGGATTTGGTTGCATAGCGGGTGTCACAATGGGGGTTTTGGACCAGTGGTGAGTTGCTCCCGGTTCCATCCGGTTCTCTAGAACCGGTAGTAAAAGCGGCGGGAAGCCCCGCCCCCCCGCCAGGACGTCATAATTGACGATCTGCACATGCGCAGAAGCTTCTATCTATCTATAAAAGATAATATAAACTAATACAGGTAGTCCTCGATTCATGACCACAATTGAGCCAGCAATTTCTGGTCCTAAGTGAGACGTTTGTAAGGGAGTTTTGCCCCCTTTTACTTCCTTTCTTGATACCGTTGTTAAGTCAATCATTTCAGTGAGTGTTAAGTGAATAGCCCGGTTGTTAAATGAATCTGGCTCCCCCCCATTGACTTTGCTTGTCATAAAGTTACAAAAGGGGATCAGATGACACTGTAACCGTCATAAATATGAACCAGCTGCCATGCATCTGAAGATTGATCATGTGACCATGGGGTTGCTGCAGTGCTCATAAGCGTGAAAAATTGTCATAAGTCATGCTGCTGTAACTTCGAATGGACATTAAATGAACTGCTGTAAGCCGAGGACTACCTGTAATATTAGCTAGCAATTTCTGCTTATGGAAGCAGGATTTTAAATCTTCCGGAGAGTCCAGTGGCATAGTAGGAAGCTGAGGATGAAAACAGTTATTAAAATGGTAAGATAGGCTCATCTTGGCATAATTGTTCCTTGAAACCTCTTTTTCTTATCAGCTCTTCTTTTGGAGCAGCTTTGAATCAATGTTACCATGTAGGCCCAGACATCCTGGCTGTGATTGGAGTTGACAAATTACAGGTGGATAATTTAGCCTGGAAATATGTCCATCTTAACGAGCCTGTAATCCCTTGCATCAGAAGTGACTGAATGGAGCTGAGCGTTTCCTGGCTGGATGCCCTTCCTGATGCCTATGCGGAGTTCACAGCAGATATTTTCTTTTTGTGCCCAGAGAGAGAAATAACTGCTGCTACTAGGGTTGAACTCACAGACTCTTGACTGTGAGGTGAGAGCTCCACTTCTAGGCTACCGTGCCATTTGGAGATACATACATGTTTATTTCATGCTTATTTGCCTAGGCTGGTCTTTCCAATTAAAAACACGCTTCCAAACTTGTGTTTCTTCAGGAGGTGAAGGAAGCTGGTCATGAGACATAAAATAATGACGGAGAAAGGGAAAAATCCAGATGCAAAATCCGAAAGAGAATTGCAAGAAGGCCTCAAAGCCGGGGTGACCCAAGAGAAGGCAGCAAGAACAACGAAAGACCTCCAAGCTGGGAATGCAGAAGGTTTTGCAAAAATGGGGGGCTCCAGATCAGCCAAGAGTGAGGCAGGAGATCGGCGGTTGAAATATTTGGATCCCCGGGCAGCTTTGAAGGCAATGCAGTCCTCCAAGCAGGAGGAACTGATTTCTGAACCATGGGAGAATGCCAAGGCCTGCCTGGCTTCCTTGGAAGGAGCAGCTGAAACCTATTGGAGATACAAAGGACTGGTGGATCTCAGCAGAGAAACTCAAAGGGAGAATGAACAAACCAATGCTGCCAAGATGGACGACTACTGGAAGGTGGGCGAGGATGTCCTGAGAGAGGACTCGGCGGCCACTGACACCCAGCGAACCCTTTTCAGAGACTTCTGTTACCGAGACGCTGAGGGTCCCCGTGAGGCCTGCAGCCGTCTCTGGTACCTCTGCCACCGGTGGCTGAAGCCGGAGAGGCACACCAAGGAGCAGATCCTGGAGCTGGTGATCCTGGAGCAGTTCCTGGCCATCCTGCCCTCCGATCTCCAGAGGTGGGTCAAGGCTGCCGGGCCTCACACTTGTGACCAAGCGGTGGCCCTGGCTGAAGGCTTTACCTCAGGACGGCCACAGGAGGTGAGACTTTAGAGAAAGCTAACTTTGTAATGGGAGTATGCTAGGGCTGGGGAGGGGTCCAAGAATATGGAGGGAGTGGGAAGTTAACTGTTCCAAGTAGACCAATCTAGGAAACCAAAGTCCTGAAGGCCAATATGACTTTTATTATAGACCTGGTAATAGAATCTTGCAACTCTTGAGTGTGCCTTCACCTCTCTCCTTTTCACTGTGTGAGTGTCAGGGTTCCAAGTAATACACCCATAGCAAACAGAACTCCGAGGCAGGTAGATTCCTCAAAGAACAGTTTCATTGGATATATCATATTGGCACAGACTGGTGAAAACCGACTCTAAAGGTCCCCGCAGTTTTCACCTAATTAAAAGTAAACGTTTTCCCCTTTTCCCAAACAAACAGTCACATGGTCCAATCAGGGGGCTGTCCAGTTGCTTCGTAACATCACTCCTCCTTTCTTCAGCCACCGGTTGGCATGTCCTTGGTTCCCAGGGGAAAGTATTTTGTTTCGGCTACAAACCTCCAACTATCTCTATTCCCCACTCCCTCATCTCCATTGTGGCAACACCGAAGCCTCAAAGATGGCCTCAGTCAGGCCAGCTACAGAATTGACAGTGAGAACTAGCGAGAGAGTTGTCTGAGACGCTTTCTCAGATTACAGTTCTGGCCTGGACTTCAGTTTCTTTTATCGGACTGTTGCCTTAGTAGCAGCTGTTCCTCAAGCGTATTCCTTTTCTCCATTACAGATAGTCCGCGACTTAACAACCATTTTGTTTAGCGACCATTCGAAGTTGCAATGGCAGTGAAAAAAAGTGACTTACGACCATTTTTCACACTTAACGACGATTGTGACATTCCCCTTGGTCACATGATCCAAATTTGGGTGCTTAGCAACTGGCATGGATTTATGAGAGTTGTGGGGTCATGTAATCCCCATTGTAACCTCCTCAGCTGAATTCCGACAAGTAATTTCAACGGAGAAAACTGGATTCACTTAACGACGGTGTGACTCACCTAAGCACTGCAGTGATTCGCTTAACAACTATGCCAAAAAAAGGTTGTAAAATGGGACAGAATTCACTTAACAATTGCCTTGCTTAGCAACAGATGTTTCGGGCTTAATTGTGTTTGTTAAATTAAGGATTATCTGTAAATGGGAAGGCCACCTAAGAGACCTACAATTCTTTTGACCTGTGGTGTCACTTTATATGTCAGTAAAATGTGATATAAAAAAACCAGGTGGGGAACTATGGCCCTTTAATGACTTGTGGACTTCGACTCCCAGAATCCTCTGAGCCAGCCATGCTGGAATTCTGGGAGTTGAAGTCCACAAGTCATAAAGGGGCCATTGTTCCCCATCTCTGCTTTAAGGAATATGAACCCCCTTTCTTTCTGAGGAACATGTGTGATCTCTGGAAATGTGATGTGTCTTTTTTGTGGGGGAAGAAACTGGCATCCTCGCTTTGCGAAAAATCTCCCCAACCTACTTTCCGTTCTGTTTCTTGTTGCTAAAAATAAATTTTGGGGTTATTTCAGGGACCAGGTTTGGTGCAGGAGGTGGCTGTGGGGTTCTCCACGGCTGAGCGGCCTCTGTCAGGGGCTGGAGAGAGACAAGCCAGTGCCGTCGAGGTCAAGCAGGAGCAGGATGGTGATAGCGATTCAGAAGGTAAGGGCTTTTAGTTGGGTGGGCTTCAAAAATTTTAGCAAGGGTTTCTCTGCCCTGTTGCTGGGTAGGCGTGGCCATGGTGGGCGTGTTCTAGTCAGCTTCCTGCACCACAGCCGGGAAGGGGGGCCTTTTTGTCCTCCCCAGGCTTTGGAGGTTTTCCTCGAGCCTCCGGGAGTGCAAAAACGGCCTCCCCAGGCTCCGGAGATCCTCTGGAGACTGGAAACAGGCCCATTTCCAGTCTTCCGAACTTCTGATAGGCCTGTTTTTTCCCTTCCTGAGCCTCCGCACGTGCCCTGCACTTACCTACATCCAAAACGGGCTGCATGTGGACTCCTGGGAGGGGCGGCGTGGGGTGGGAGGGGCCAGCCAGGAGTGGGATTTGGAGGTTCTCTGAACTGCACAGAATCTTAGCTAGAGGTTCTCCCGAAGCCCCTGCTTGTGGTATGCTGCTGTCTCCAAGATGCCTGGATTTTCAGAAGTTGTTTTAAGCTGAACACCAGCCCTTCGGAGTAGGCCAGGTCAAGAAACAAATTGCAGGATTCTGGTAGGATAAACTAACAAAACCGTGGAAGCCTGTTCCAAACCCTTACTGCTCTTTTTTAAGGATAACAAGGCAGGGCTGTTGTAAGTCTCTCTCCTGCTTTCTATTTACTCAGGGCTGAGCAACAGTTCCTACTCTCCAGCTTGTTTCTCAGAGCTAAATTATTCTGTGTCGGGAAATTTTATCAGTTAAGCATACAGCTAATCCTCAATTTATAACCATTCATTTAGTCAGCACTTGAAGTTACAGCAGTGTTCTGCCCCAGCTACGGACCCCAAAGAACGCAGCACACACAAAGTCTGTATAAACCTTAGTTTACTAAATTAAATCAGTCTTTTGCAAACAAAGCCTGTTAATTAACTTTCTTAACAGCCTACAAGAATCCAAAGAATAAATAATCGTAATCTTACTATGGTTGGCAGAAAGCCCAGAAGCAATTTGCAGGAAACTGATAAGAGCATTAAGATCAAGACACGAAGGAGAGTGAACGAAGTTGTTCCCTGCAAATTGCCTCAGTCATCATCCTTCCTTAAATAGGCTAAGGGAGTGGCCAATTACTCCCAAGTCTTACTCTCGAGGAGACTTCCTCCTGAGGAGCCACTCCTGCCTTTTGGCAGCTCTGCGCGGCCATACATCGAAAAGAGGCTCCTTCTCTTCTTCCTCTTCACTTATGGGAGGTTCTGAAGGCCCTGGCTGAATCCCTGCCTCTGGCACCACATCTTCTCCAGCCTCCTCATTGTCTGACTCAAGCGCCAGCTGCACAGGCTGCTGGCGCAACACCACACCAGCCTCCTTGCTGTCAGAATCAGCTACTAGCTGCACAGGCCGCTGACGGGCCACAACAAGCAGTACTAAAAAAAGTGACTTATGACTATTTGTCACACTTCTAACCATTGCAGCATCTCCCGTGGTCATGTGATCAAAATTCAGGCACTGGATAACTCGTTCATATTTATGATGATTGTAGCATCCCAGGGTCACGTCATTACCTTTTGTGACCTTCTGAGAAGCAAAGTCAATGGAGAAGCCAGATTCACTTCACAACTGTGTAACTATAGCACTAGCACTAGCACTTAGACTTATATACCACTTCACAGTGCCCCCAACAATCTGGGTCCTCATTTTACCGACCTCGGAAGGATGGAAGGCTGAGTCAACCTTGAGCCGGGCAGGATCGAACTGTTGAACTGCTGGCAGCCGGCAGTCAGCAGAATGAGCCTGCAATACTGCATTCTAACCACTGCGCCACCATGGCTCTTAACAACTGCAGTGAACTAACTTAACAACTGCAGTGAATTCACCTAACAATTGTGGCAAGAAGGGTCGTAAAATGAGGCAAAGCTCACTTGACAACTGTCTCGCTGAGCACTGAAAATTTTGGATTCAATTGTCATAGTTTAAGGACTATCTATACATTTGTGATTGCTTCACTCTTCATGCATGTGGGTGAACAGAATAATTCTGAAATCTGAGAGGAGGTTGTGACCATTTATTGCACCTTTATAAAAAGTTAGGGTTCAGCCCCTTTCCCATCATCCTTTTCATGCAACCGGTTCTTTGTCATATTCTAATGCAGTGCCTCTCAAGTTTGGCTAATTGAAGATGGGGGGACGGCAACTCCATGGCTGGCTGGGGAATGCTGAGAGTTGAAGTCTACCCATCTACAAGTTGCCAAGGTTGAGAAACATGTTTTAACGCAGAGGTCTCCAAACTTGGCAATTTTAAGACTTACGGACTTCAACTCCCAGAATTCCTTAGGCAACCATGTTGGCTGGGGAATTCTGGGAATTGAAGTCCACAAGTCTTAAAAGTTGCCATGTTTGGAGACCCTGGTTCTAATGGAATGGAGTAGGTGGGATTTTATTTTTTTTTTAATCATCCGAGCTTGGAACAAAATATTTCCTACATTATAGTTGAGAAACTGCTTGGAACCATCTGACTGGCCAGTTTGAAAATGGGACATTAGAATGTTGATGTGGTTGCCGTGCTCTGCTTGGATTCTTGAGTAACCCTTTTCCCTCTATGCTCCCCACAGATGACAAGTGGGTGATTGAGACGAGGCAAGGGGATCTCCAGTTGGAAGACACCGAGCCAGTGAAATTGTGTGGGCCCTCCTTGCAAGAACCTTATTGGTCCGAAGAAGATGGAGATGCAGCTCTTGGGGATGGAGCTGACCAGAAGAATGAGGACAACCCAGGTCAAAACAGACCTGAAGGGCTTCCTCTAGCAGAAGAAGACGGGGACTCAAGTCAACCTGTTATGGTCCAAAGACGGCACAGAAGTCGAGAAAAGAAGACCTGTGCCGTGTGCGGCAAGACTTTCAGCCGGAGCACGGTGCTCGCTGCCCATCAGAGGACCCACACGGGCGAGAAGCCATTCATGTGCCAGAATTGTGGGAAATGCTTCAGCTTCAAGTCCACTCTGGTTGCCCACGAAAGGACCCACACGGGAGAGAGGCCTTACACCTGTGATCTGTGTGGGAAGAGCTTCACCGTCAGCTCAGTCCTCACCAGGCATTACCGAGTCCACATCGAAAAGAAACTCTTCAGCTGCTCCGAGTGTGACAAGAGCTTCACTCAGAAATCTCAGTTGCTCAACCATCAGAAGATCCACGTGAGGGAAAAGCCGTTCAAATGTGCCCAGTGTGGAGAAGGTTTCAGCCGGAGCTCCAGCCTCAAGAAACACGAGGGCTCCCACACGGGGGAGAAACCCTTCAAATGCCCCGATTGCGAGAAATCCTTCAACACGTCTTCCCAGCTGGTCAAGCACCACCGAGTCCACACCGGGGAGAGGCCCTACACATGTTCGGAGTGTGGGAAGAGCTTCAGCCAGTGGCAGATCCTGATGGTGCACCAAAGGACCCACACGGCGAGAAACCCTTCAAGTGCGCCACCTGCGGGAAATGCTTCTCCGATCGGGCTGTCCACATTCGCCACCAGAAAGTCCACACAGGGGAGAGGCCTCATCAGTGCCCCACTTGCGGGAAGAGGTTCACCCACCGCACCGTCTTGGTGAAGCACCAGAAGATCCACGCCCGAGAAGCTCTGAACCTAGCCAAATTGCAAGATGAGCAGCAACGACACGAGGAAACTTCATAAAAGTTTGCAAGACGGGACGAATGCTCAACTTTGAAGGATACCGACGGGCGACGCTCTTCCCTGAGCCTTCCCTACCTTTTTTGGCTTCCAGATGCGTCAAGACCCATGGTCTTCCTGGCTTAAAAACAGATGGGAGTTGCAGTCCAATAAAGGAACTGGGTTGGCTTGATAGCACAGGATTCTGCTGTATTGTGCAAAGATGTATATGTATCAGATAATCAGTATGTCTACAACAGAGGTCTTCAAACATGGCATAGCTTGCTGGAGAATTCTGGGAGTTGAAGTCCACAAGTCTTAAAGCTGCCAAGTTTGAAGACCTCTGGTCTACAATCACACCGTGGCAAACGGTCACTTTCCCAGGGCTGAGCATGATGGGTTAGGCAACACTTTCTTTGACACACGTGGGGATCCTCCAGTGGGCCTACTCCTCCACCACTCCCCAGTCCCCTCATCTTCCATGTTGTGACTGTCTCTGTGTATGCACTTTTGTCTTCCTGATAAAAGTTGCCGGCGTTGTTGTCGAGTCTTGGCAAAGTCAACTTTTTCAAGATCTACTTTAGCTATGCACTACAGTGATAAAGAAAGCAGTTCATGAGGACAGATTAAGCCCCTCCCATTTGTGCACAGACATCAACTAGTAGTAGATAATGTATCCGATAGAGAAGCATCCTGTTTTAATTCAATTCCCCATCACAATGTTATTGTTTTTTTGCCACTGTTCTTTGGTTGTTGGTCCCCACGTTTCTGATTTTGGACACCAACATGCTGTTGTGTTTCTGTATTATAAGGATAAGAGGATAATGTATATCACAAAAACGGATTAAAGCAAAAATTAGAAGTGCCTCATAATTAGCCTGTCTGTAAGCTTGCCTTTCGGTTGTTAATGCAGTTGCTGTCAAATATAATGCTTTCATTGTCTATCCACTGCAAGATTAATGCGTCTTCTGCACGTTTCCAGCCAATAGAGTCCTGAGCGAGGGCCGTTTTTGAGTTTGTATTGGCAAGTGGAAGGAATAGACCATAATCTGCTACACCGGTCCAGTGCGGGTTGGCAGGTGTGATCGGTGTTAATCTGGGGTATCCATCATGGCCTGTTCACCTTGAGAGACCCTTCTGAATGTTGTTGTGACTCAGGCCCAAGTAAGTAGTAGGAAAATCAGTCAGTGAAAAAACAAATAAACTTTATTTGAACAGCTGAGAATTACTTCATTCCCAGCGTCGTTCAACTAAATTAAAGCAAATTCCTCCCAACACAAATTCCTCAGTCCTATCGCAGTCCTTGGTCCAATTAGGCAAACTGCCAAAGGCCTTTCTTGGCAAATGTTCAGAAGTCACAGATACAAAAATAAATACAAGACATAGATGAAGAAGACGACGAAGCTACCAATGTTGTTTTCCGGCAAAGCCCAAACGCCGTTGCTGGTCTGTTTTAAGACTTATGGGAGGGGCCAATCATCTCTTGGCCCTACTCCCGAGTTGTCCTCTTTGCTTGAGCTGCTCTTACCTTCTGGCAGCTCTTCTCATGCGTGCATTAGGAACAGGCTCCTCCTGTTCCTCTTCCTCACTCCTATCAGTCTCTGGAGGCTCTGAAGTCCACACCTCACTCCCCGATGGCCCTGGCCCCATCTCTGCCTCTGACCCTGAGCCCTCATCCAGGCCTTCCCCAGCCTCCAGGACTGGCCCATGTTCTTCCTCAGCCTTGGTGGTGGTGGTGGGGTAATGTGACTGGGTGGGCCTGGCCAACTTTTTGTTTTTAAACTTTTCAAAGCATTTTTTCTAATGCTTTGAAAAGCCTCTGCCGATCAAGCAACTCAGCTGGGATCGTCAGAGACTTTTCAAAGCATTTTTTTTACCACCTCTTCGGCCAAGAGGTTGCAGAAAAAAAATGCTTTGAAAAGCCTCTGACGGTCCCAGCTGAGCCGCACGATCATCAGAGGCTTTTTTAAAAAAACTTTTAAAAGCATTTTTTCGTCGGAAGAGGTTGTAGAAAAAATGTTTTTAAAAGTAAAAAAAAAAAAAAAGCCTCTGATGATCATGTGGCTCAGCTGGACATTGTGGGGGGAGGGGGGCGCAGGGAATTTTTGCTACCGGTTCTCCGAACCACCTGCTGCCATCGCTACCGGATCGGACGATCCGGTCCGAACCGGGAGCATTTCACCCCTGTCCTGGGGTCATATGATCAGCTTCTGCTCCCGTCTGATAAGCAAAGTCAATGAGGAATCCAGATTTACTTCTCCACTGTGTGACTCACTTAACAAATGCGGAGATTCACTTAACAATAGCGGCAAGAAACGTTGCAAAACTCACTTAACAAATGTTTCCCTTTCAGCCGCGGTGGTGCAGTGCTTAAGAGTGCAGTGTTGCAGGCTACTTCTGCTGACTGCCGGCTGCCTGCAGTTTGGCAGTTCGAATCTCACCAGGCTCAAGGTTGACTCAGCCTTCCATCCTTCAGTAAAATGAGGACCCAGATTGTTGGGGGGGCAATATGCTGACACTGTAAACCGCTTAGAGAGGGATGTAAAGCACTATGAAGCAGTATATAAGTCTAAGTCAGTGGGTCTCAACCTTCCTAATGCCGCGACCCTTTAATACAGTTCCTCATGTTGTGGTGACTCCCAACCATAAAATTATTCCTAAGACCATTGAAAAAATGTGTTTTCCGATGGTCTTAGGCGACCCCTGTGAAAGGGTTGTTCGACCCCCAAAGGGGTCCCGACCCACAGGTTGAGAACCACTGGTCTAAGTGCTATTGCTATTAACAAATGTTTCACTTAGTAATCTAAATTTTGGGCTCAAAATTTATAGAATCCACCCTGGCTGGGATGCTGGAAAAAAAACAAACCAATAAATTCTCCTCCCCCTTACATAATCGTATTTTCTGAATTATGGTGTAATATTTCAGAGAGGGGGCAGCCATGGGAAGATAACATAGAAGTTCAGGCTGAATTTACACAACAGTAGTCTTTTTTTTTTTAAAAAAACCCACCGGTTATGGAGTTGGAAGGAACTTGGAGGTCTTCTAGTCCAACCCCCTGCTCAGGCAGGAAACCCAATGCCATTTCAGCCAAATGGTTGTCCAATCTCTTCTTAAAAATCTCCAGTGCTGGAGCATTCACAACTTCTGGAGGCAAGTTGTTCCACTGGTTAATTGTTCTGTCAGGAAATTTCTCCTCAGTTCTAGGTTGCTTCTCTCCTTGATTAGTTTCCACCCATTGCTTCTTGTCCTGCCTTCAGGGGCTTTGGAGAATAGTTTGACTCCCTCTTCTTTGTGGCAGCCCCTGAAATATTGGAACACAGCTATCATGTCTCCCCTAGTCCTTCTTTTCATTAAACTAGACATACCTAGTTTCTGCAACGTTCTTTAGCCTCCAGTCCCCTAATCATCTTTGTTGCTCTTCTCTGCACTCTTTCTAGAGTCTCCACATCTTTTTTTTTTACATTGTGGCGACCAAAACTGGATGCAGTATTCCAAGTGTGGCCTTACCAAAGCATTATAAAGTGGTATTAACACTTCACGTGATCTTGATTCTATTCCTCTGTTAATGCAGTCTAGAACTGTGATGGCTTTTTTGGCAGCTGCAGCACAGTGTTAGCTCATATTTAAATGAATGTCCACTAGGATTTAATTTAATTGTTACCCAACTCCATTATGACTCTAGGAGGCAGACTAGACAAAATTTAAAATGGCCCACCCATGTAATATGAAATAAAAAAAAAAAACCATCCAGAGAAAAATAGTACCATCTCACAAATCACAACATCTGAGAAGCAGCCAGGTTTTAAGGATTTATTTAAATCAATGTCTCTCAAACTCTTAAGATGTGTGGACACTTCAACTTCCAGAATTCCCCAAGCCAGGATGGGGGTCATATGGATTCTTAGGAGAATATCTATATTGCTGGTTTCTTGGGTCTCATTAACGGCCATTGCTTAATAATTGGTGGAACCTGGAACATGCTGATTTTGCTGGATTATTTTTATTTACCGTATTTTTCAGAGTATAAGACGCACTGGAGTATAAGACGCACCTACCTTTTTTGGTGAGGAAAAGAAGAAAAAAGAAATCTCCCTCTGCCTCTGAGCACTTTTGCCTCCTTGCAGCAAACAGCCTGCTTTACTTTCATTTTTGTTTTCAGCATAGCTGGATTAGCAACAAGGAAAAAAAAAATCTGCTCCAGCAATTTACCTCTTTGTAGCAAGCAGCAGAGCCCTGTGCAAAACAGCTGAGAGCAAAACAGCTGAGAGTCGGGAGGCCGAGCCAATCAACTTGTGCTAATTAGGCTGTGCTGAAGCTGAAAGGAGCTGTTTTTTCTTACTGTTTGCTTGCAAGGAGGTAAATGCTGTGAGGCAGAGGCCAAAGGGTGGGGGCCAGTGGGTGGGCGGGGCTACATTCGGTGTATAAGACCCACCTAAATTTTCACCCCTTTTTAGGGGGGAAAAAGGTGTGTCTTATACTCCGAAAAATACGGTATTTATTAAATTTATACACTGCCCCATCTTACCATTGGGAATATGGAGTAGGCAGACAATCCCTCCAACAACCAGGCCCATCCTAGATCATGACATTATGGATCAGTGTTTTTTTCAAACTTGGCAACTTTTAAGATGGGTGGACTTCAACTCCCAGAATTCCTCACAGCCAGCAGGCCCTCACTCTTCCTGTTGTGACTTTAAACAAAAAAAAAAAGCCAGGCATTGAAATAAACAATGTTTCTGGGCATCACAAATGTGTTTTGTATATAAAAAAACAAGGCCATCGTTTTCTCCTGTTTTTAAAAAAAAGTTCTTATTTTTATTGAATTAGTCCCATTTTTACAACTTTGGAGCTTTGCTACTTAAAGGTACAGCGACCTGTAAATGTGGATAAACCAAAAGGATTTTTTCCCCATGGACTTTCTACCTTCCTTGAAATTTCCCCCCTAAAAATATAGGTGCAGAACCCAAAGAAGGGTGGAGTTTTAGGATCCTTAAACATCCAAGAAATGGCTAGCATTGTCCAAAGATAAGGCTTAGAACTGTGAGAAGCAACAGAGTATCTTTTGCAAAATGGTTCATGTAAAACAGGGGTCTCCAAATTTGGCAACTTTGAAGACTTGTAGATTTCAACTCCCAGAATTCTGGGGGAAGGGAACAGGGGTGAAATGCTCCCGGTTCGGATCCGGTAGCGATGGAGATGGGTGGTTTGGAGAACTGGTAGCAAAAATCCCTGCCGCCACCCCCCCCAGCTGAGCCACGCAATCATCAGAGGCTTTTTTTTTTTAACTTTTAAAACCATTTTTTCTACAACCTCTTCAGCCGAAAAAATGCTTTTAAAAGTAAAAAAAAAAGGCTCTAATGATCGTGAGGCTCAGCTGGGATCGTCAAAGGCTTTTAAAAGCATTTTTTCTACAACCTCTTCAGCTGAAAAAATGCTTTTAAAAGTAAAAAAAAAGCCTCTGATGATTGCGCGGCTCAGCTGGGATCGTCAAAGGCTTTTAAAAGCATTTTTTCTACAACCTCTTCGGCCAAAAAAATGCTTTTAAAAGTAAAAAAAAAAAGCCTCTGATGATTGCGCGGCTCAGCTGGGATCGTCAAAGGCTTTTAAAAGCATTTTTTCTACAACCTCTTCGGCCGAAAAAATGCTTTTAAAAGTAAAAAAAAAAAAGCCTCTGCCGATCAGGCAACTCAGCTTGGATTGTCAGAAGCATTTAAAAGAAAAAAAGCCTCTGCCGATCAGGCAACTCAGCTGGGATCGCCAGAGCTTTTTGAAAGCATTTTTTTACAACCTCTTTGCTGAAGAGGTTGTAGAAAAAATGGTTTTAAAAGTAAAAAAATAAATAAAAATGGCCATGCCCACCCAGTCACATTATCCCCCCCCACCAAGCCAGGCCCACAGAACCGGTAGTAACAAATTTTAGATTTCAACACTGAAATTCTGGGAGTTGAAGTCCACAAGTTGCCAAGTTTGGAGACCCCTGTTGTAAAGCTTTCCAGTGGATTCAGTCTCCTCTCCACCCATTTGATCAACCCCATCCTACATAGTTTATTTGGTAATTAATGGATTTAGAATTAACGTTGCTTTCAGCTGTTTTCGTATTTACAGCATCCAAGTGCCTGGCTCTATGATGCTCTACAAAATGGGGCCTTGTATAGAAACTTTCCCCGCAGTATATGCATTTATAGGGCTTCCCTCCAGCGTGGGTTTTTTGATGGACGACCAGATTCGAATTTAGATTGAATCTTTTCCCACACTCCGAGCACTGATACGGTTTTTCTCCGGTGTGGATCCTCAGATGTCTAATAAGAGCAGAGTTGCACGTGAAGCTCTTGCTGCAATGAGAGCACGCATACGGTTTTTCTCCCGTGTGGGTTCTCTGATGGATGCTGAGCTGCGAACTCACACTGAACAATTTGCCGCATTCCAAGCACTCGTACGGCTTTTCTCCCGTGTGAATTCGCTGGTGTGCGATAAGGTTGGCGCTCAAGACGAAGCTTTTCCCGCAGTCTCCGCAACGGAAAGGTTTTTCCCCCGTGTGAATTCTCTGGTGGCGGATGAGCCCGGAGCTGCAGCTGAAGGTTTTGCCACACTCTATGCAATCGAATGCCTTTTCTCTGTGCCTTTTCTTGTGAGCTGTGAGACTCGACCTTAGATAAACGCTTTTGGGACAGTCAGAACATTTGTAAGGCTTCATACCCGCGTGCGTTCTCTGGTGGGCGTTAAGGCTCGACATCACACTGAAGCTTTCCCCACATTCCGAGCATTCATAGGGCTTCTCTTCCGTGTGGGTCCTCCGATGCACGCCGAGTTGGGAGCTCACACTGAAGGTTTTGCCACAATCGGGGCATTCGTGGGGTTTCTCCCCCGTGTGGGTCCGCCGGTGTCTGCTGAGGCTCGAATTGCAGCTGAAGGTTTTCCCGCAGGCCGCACATCCATACGGTTTGTCTTCCGTGTGGATCCTCTGATGCCGAACGAGGCTGGAGCTGCAGGCGAAACCTCTCCCACAGTGAGGACAGCGATAGGGTTTTTCCCCAGTGTGGATTCTCTCGTGAGCAATGAGGTTGGAGCTCTGGCTAAAACTTTTCCTGCAGGCCGAGCAAGAGTAGGGTTTCTCACCTTTGTGGGCTTGCCCGTGCGCAACCAATGCCGATTTCTGGCTGAAATGTCTCCCGCATTCAGAGCACGCGTAAGGTTTTTCTCCCGTGTGGATTCTTCGGTGGGCAACCAAGCTCGATTTCAGCCTGAAGTTCCTCCCGCACTCCGGGCAAGCATAGGGTTTTTCTTTGGTATGGATTCGCTCGTGGGCAACGCGGCTGGAGATCTGCCGAAAGCTCTTCCCACACACGCTGCATCTGTACGGTCTCTCCTCCAGATGGATTCTCCGATGAGCAACGAGAGTCGATTTCTTGCCAAAGCTTTTCCCGCAACGACCGCACTTATAAGGTTTTGCTCCGGTGTGGATTCTCTCGTGAGCAATAAGTTTGGAGGTACTGCTGAAACTTTTTCTGCATCGGCTGCACACAAGTTGTTTCTTGCTTTTATCTGCATTGCTTATATTGCCTGGTCCATGATGAAGGGGCTGAGTTATAGTTTTATTTGCCCAGTCTTCATTGTTTGGCTTGTTTTCCAAGTTCTCTTCCTCCTTCAGAGTGTGGAAATGGGATTTGCTTAACAATTTCTCACGTACGCCTAATGGTTCAGAGTTATCCGAACTGGAAATTGTCTTCTTCTCGTCTTCCTGAGCCTTTGGCCTTTGAATTACTGAAACAACAAGTTAAGTCAAGTGATTAGCTCATATAGATGAGGAAAAAGGTTTTTTTTCCCCACTCTGATAACAAAATTGAAAGCCTTTGGATAAGGTATAGGTTCCCCTCGCACATATGTGCTAGTCGTTCCCGACTCTAGGGGGCGGTGCTCATCTCCGTTTCAAAGCCGAAGAGTCAGCACTGTCTGAAGACACCTCCATGGTCATGTGGTCGACATGACTAAACGCCAAAGGCACACGGAACGCTGTTACCTTCCCACCAAAGGTGGTCCCTATTTTTCTACTTGCATTTTTTACGTGATTTCGAACTGCTAGGTTGGCAGAAGCTGGGACAAATAATGGGAACTCACCCCATTACGCGGCACGACGGATTCAAACCGCTGAACTGCCGACCTTTCGATCGACAAGCTCAGCGTCTTAGCCACTGAGCTACCGCATTCCATTATGTACCCCTTGGATACAACACCGCAGTACCACATCAGGCATATCGGTGACTTTTTCAAAAGATGGGCGCTGTGACACAATGGCATGCAGGTAGTCCTTGACTTACGACCGCAATTGCGCCCCAAATGTCTGTTGCTAAGCGAGACAGTAGTTAAGTGAGTTTTGCCCCATTTGATCTTCCTTGCCACAGTTGTTAAGTGAATCACTGCAGCTGTTAAGTTAGGAACGTGGTTGTTAAGTGAATCTAGCTTCCCCGTTCTCCTTGCTTGTCAGAAGGTCGCAAAAGGGGATCCCGTGACCCCGAGACACTGCAACCGTCATAAATGTGAGTCAATTGCCAAGGGTCTGCATTGTGATCACTTGACCATGGAGATGCTACAACTGTCGTTAAGCGTGAAAAATGGCCGTAAGTCACTTTTGTCAGTGCCGTTGTAACTTTGAACGGTCCCTCAATGAACTGTTGTAAGTCAAGGACTGCCTGTACAATGTTATTGGGGGCCTATATTTTTAAAAAGTGTAACTGGATAGTGGCTTCTGCTGGGGATAGTTAAAAAAAAGAAACAGGACCTGGAAGTTGAGCAGTGAATTGTGAAGACTTGGATCCCAGTAACTGTAAGAAAATCCAGTTTACCTTGGCACTCTGCATCTATGTTCTGGAGGATGGGACTTTGCGCCATTGGGGTCCCTGGAGTCTCTCCTGGCTCCATCAAACGTGGCTGTTTGGGGAACCACAATGCCTTCACAGCTAGAAAAAGGATATTAAAAGAGATTTTAACAATGCTGGCTATTAAGCTGTCCATTCTGAAATTTGCTCTTCCTTTTCTGTTCACAAACCCTCTCTTCTCCTTTATTGAGACTCTCTTCCTGTCTCTTGATAGTTTAGATCAGGGGTCACCAACCTTTCGGACCTCAGGGGTGGGTTCTAATTTTTTTTTACTACCGGTTCTGTGGGCGTGGCTTATTTTGTGGGCATGGCTTGTGTGGGGGGTAATGTGACTGGGTGGGCGTGGCCAACTTTTTTTAAAAAAAACTTTTAAAAGCATTTTTTCTGCAACCTTAAGAAGTTGCAGGAAAAAATGCTTTTAGAAGCTTCTGACGATCAGACAAGTCAGCTGGGATCGCCAGAGGCTTTTAAAGGCATTTTTCCCCCCGTACAATCTCTTCCGCTTTTAAAAGCCTCTGAGATCCTAGCTGAGTCACACAATCATCAGAGGCTTTTTTTTTAACTTTAAAAAGCATTTTTTCAGCTGAAGAGGTTGTAGAAAAAATGCTTTTAAAAGTAAAAAAAAAAAAAAAAAAAAAAAGCCTCTGATGAGGTGGGTGAGGTAAGCGAGCGGCGACCAGGCTGGGGACCGGTTTGGGGGTATGGCCAGCCAATGTTATTACCGGTTTTCCGAACTACTAAAATTTTTTACTACCGGTTCTTGTGAACCGATGCAAACCAGGAGCAACCCACCACTGCAGGGACCATTAAATTCATAATTTTAAATCCCGCGGACCACTAATATGATCTGCCTAATGACCGGCTGGGTGGGTGTGGCTAGGTGGTCATGTGCCTGGGTGGGTGTGGCCAACTCAGTGTCACTCACGTTGAGGAGCAACTCTACTCACCCCTCCCTTCCCAGCCACTCCTCCCCTCCCCGCATGGTCTCCTTAGTGCCCCAAAAGGAAGGAGTTGTTGGAGCTAAGCAGCCACCATGAGAAAGAGTTGGCAAAACAGCTCAGTTCAAATTGGATCTGACTGAGAAGGAGGCTCAGTAGAAGCACCTCACTGAGGACTAGGAGCATAGGCTTTCCAAGCAGAGGGAAGACCTGCGGGAATCCAAGGCCAGGTACAGATGCCTGGAGGCTCAGCGGGCTGAGATGGTCAGCCAGTTCCAGGCCATGATGCGGTCCCACTGGAACGAGGCCCTCCAGCTCTTCGCCATCAGGGGCACTTCTCTCCAGCCTTCGCCCAAAGCCCCACATCAGGAAGCTGAAGCAGACCCCAAGTCAGAATTTCTGTCTCTCTCCGACCCGCACAAAAAGATCCAGAAGGGGGAGACTCTCTGAAGCAACACAAATGTTCATTGCACGTATCTGTCCCAGGGGCCATAGTTTGAGGACCTCTGATTTAGTGCAATATAAAAAATGCAAATAATTTTCCTGTGGCCCACTGAAATTTTCTTGCAGACCACTAGTGGTCCACGGACCACCAGTTGGTAACCGCTGGTTTAGATCGGTGTTTCTCAACATTGACAGCTTTAAAAGGTGTGGACTTCAACTCCCAGAATCCCCCTGCCACCACGCTGGCAGAGAGATTCTGGGAGTTGAAGTCCACACCTCTTAAGAGTTGCCAAGGTTGACTAATACCGGCTTAGTTCTAAATTCTCTTCCATCCACACCTTTCCTAACTGCCCCACAACCTCTTACGCACAGCTTGCACAAAACAATCCTTTTTTTAAATAAATGGAAAAATTTTAAAATAGCAGGTCAAACAGAGGCCCAGTTCACCCATTTTTTCAGCTGCTGACATTTTGGAATAAATTTTTATAATAGCGAGGAAAGCTTTGAACAAAATAAGCTAAAAACTAAATATTGAAACGGTCAAATATTGTGAGAATTTATGTCAGGACACAAGTATCTTGTAAGGCCAGATCAGAGCATGATGGCGCTGCTATTTGAAATTACAGATATAAGAATATTGAAAATCATTTAATTCCTTGTGCCCCATCTGCATAAGAAAAAAAAATATGTCAAAACTAAAGATGATTACGCTGGGATTAACAGTGGAATAAAGATGTATTTTGTACATTGGGATTAACAGATTTGAAATTTAGGGGTTTTATAATTGAGCCTATTATTTAATAATTTTAATAATTTTAAAATTTTGTCTGTCTTTGTGCTTTTAATCAGACTGTACACCGCCCTGAGTCCTTCAGGAGAAGGGCGGTATAGAAATAAAATAAATAAATAAATAAAATAAATAAAACAGTGGAAGGATAAAAGAAAAGGTTAAATTAGAAAATTTAACCTTTAACCCAAATAATAATTTGGGATACTGTTTAAATATGTATAACAATTGTGATAATTTGAACATTTATTACCTAAGTGAAAAAGAAAAGAAAACTGAAACAATATGTGATTATGATTTATAAACAAAAATTACTTAATTGGTGTTATATAAATGGTATGGTTTGATAGATAGAATCCAGGATAATTGGGAAATTGTGTTACAAAGCATTATCTGAACTAAGAACTATGTATAAATGTTAAATTGCTATATTTCTAAAATTACAAAGTAAGATTTAAATTTGATAAATAATGGAATAATGAGCATAATGAAATATAAATATGTTTGAATTGTATTGTTAAAAGTGAGGATTTAGGGTAAGAATTGTTGTATTATGAGTTATTAATTGAATTAAGAATTAAGGTGGGTTAATAGAAGGGTAATTGTTTTGATTAAGTAAATATGTGTTAATTTTTTTAAGATGGTATTAGTTGAATATGTGATATAAGATCTAGAAATAAGTGCTATGGCAAAATGGTATAGATAAAATTTTGTTAAAAGATTTTGTTAAAAATTGAACAAAGTGATGTCCGGATCAAAGCTCTGTTCCGAAAGGATGTAATTTGTATGTCTGGAAAAAAATAAAAAAAACTTTTTGCAAAACAAAACAAAACAAAACAAAAAAAATGTCAACCTATATTAACATATGTTAGAATACATATTGTCTTTTATGAAGGTGGTTAATGCAGCAGACATAGCATTCCCTCCTATTTCCCCCCCCCCCCACAACCACCATACAGAGTTGAAGAAGCTTCTTGGATGAGAAGCGAAACGTCTTCAAAGAAAAAAACCAGAAAGTCCAGTTTGCCTCTTGAAAAAAAAACCAAACAAACCACTTTTGGGACAACCACCATACAAGGTAGGCCGAAACGGAAAAGAGTCACTGGCTCCAAAAGGTAACCAAATGAGGGATGATGGCCTTCATCCCATCCAGATCATTTTAAGACTACAACTTCCACGGTGCCCAGCTAGAGCTCTGCGATCCAACGTTGCTCCAAGATGTTTGTATCTTTTATAAAACTTTTCAATAAAAAAAAAACAAAACAGAAAGTCCAGTGGCCTCTTGAAAAAAAAAAAAAAAAAAAAGCACCTTTGGGTCAGCCAGGAACAGTTCCCCTGAGCTTATACAGAGCGCTTTTTTCTTCTTTTTGCTCTCAAAGGTCTCCTGAGCAGTCCCAAAACTTCCCGGGTTACTTTGGTGGATTTGAGGCTCACCTCGTGCTCTGAAAGGCGATTCCCAACCCCGAGGGCTGCGACCGATGGGGGCTGTAGTCCAGATCCTGGAAGGCGTGGAAGGGGGTGGGTGGGTTTGAAAGGCTGAAAAGCTGACTTCCGCGCCCCTCCCCTTTCGAAGCCTGGGAATTCTACTGACGCCTGACTTCAAAGGGATCGCCTCGGAATTCTTATGACGTCACGTTCGGACTTGCTTTGATCGTGGCTTTCTCTCTCCCCTTTGATGTTTGCGCCGATCGTTCGAAAGATACACGCGGGAAGGGCGGCAGTTTCGCGCGGGGTGGGGTGTTTATTGAACCCCGTGGGATGGAATTTTTTTTTAGGGGGTTTTTGAAAAAAACCTGAGTGGGGATCCCCCCTCAGTCCGATCCCTCCTTCCTGCACCGGAGGGATCGAATAGGATCCCTCCGGCTGTGCCCACACTAAGCCTGTTTACCTGTCTCCGGATATAACCCCGCCGTCCGGCTGGAGAGATCGGCCTCTTCCTCCCTAGATCCAGTAGCGTCAAACGAGCGAAGCCTACCGGTTTTAGCAAACCGTCATGCGGTCCAGAGCCCTCTGCCGGTCGCCGGCGCTCCATTGCGGCTGTTTTATCCGCTTTGGAGCGGCAAAAATAGCCTCTGAGCATGTGCAGACGCCTTTCTCCGGGGAGAGATTTCCCTATGGCCGATCGGACTCTTTGTCCCCCTCCCCCCTCCCCAGTGAGTCGTGTGAAAACGCCTTTGTCCTGGAAGCGACTCGAATTTCACTTTAAAAAAATAATAATAATCCTGAATTTGTGCGACTAAGAGCTGTTTTATTTTATTTTATTTTATTTATTTTTTATTTATTAATTTTATTCCTATACCGCCCTTCTCCTGAAGGACTCAGGGCGGTGTACAGCCTGATTAAAAACACAAAGACAGACAAGAGTTTAAAAATAATTAAAATTATCAAATAATAGGCCCAATTTATAAAACCCCAAATTTAAAATTTAACCCCAAATTTAAAAGGAGCCTTGGTAGTACAGTGGTTTAAAGCCCCCTGTTATTAAGACCAGCTGCCTGCAATTACTGCAGGTTCGAATCGCGCCAGGCTCAAGGTTGACTCAGCCTTCCATCCTTTCTAAGGTGAGGTAAATTGAGGACCCAGTTTGTGGGGGCAATAAGCTGACTTTGTATAAAAATATACAAAAGGATGAAGGCTATTGCTTAGCGCATTGTAAGCTGCCCTGAGTCTCCGGAGAAGGGCGGCATATAAATCAAATTAAAAAAATATTTTTTTAAAAAAAATCCCATTTAAAACCAATTAAAATCTTTACATTGATAGCCCAGCCTGGCAGAACAACATGGTTTTGAGGGCACAGCGAAACACATGGAGATCAGAGATTTTACGAATTTTTGGGGGCAGGTCATTCCACAGAGCTGGGGCTCCCACAGAGAAGGCCCTCCCCCTGGGTGTTGCCAGCCGACATAATTTGGCCGATGGCACCCGGAGGAGACCCTCTCTGTGGGAGCGAACTGGCCGGTGGGAGGCTACTGGTGGCAGAAGACGGTCTCGAAGGTACCCGGGTCCTATGTTTCTGAATCCGAATCGAGCTGGGAGGGAACTTGGAGGTCTTCTAGTCCAGCCCCTATCCTATTTCAGACAGTTGGCTGTCCGGTCTTTTCTTAAAAACTTCCAGTGGTGAAGCACCCATAACTTCTGGTGGCAAGCTGTTCCACTGGTTAATTGTCCTCACTTAGAGACTTAGAATAACTTTATTGTCGCTTTGAATTCCTCACTGTTAGGAAGATTCCCCTTTAAGCTGCTGAATTATTATTTTTGGCAATAATTATTCCGGCGTCCTGCGAATAATTTTTAAATTTTTAAGTTTTTTATTTTAAAATGTTTTTTATTAGGATTTTAAAGCGCGCTTCAGACTTTTTTATTCCATCAAACTGGCCTGGCCTAAATCTTCTCCCCTTTTTAAATATAAATTTTAATTTGTTTTAAATTATGGGGTATTTTAAATTCAGCCAAATTATTTAATTCGTTTTTAATTTATTTTAAATTTTTGTATTTATGTGTTTTATCTTATGGCTGTTCACCGCCCTGAGTCCTTCGGGAGAAGGGCGGTATAGAAATTTAATAAAATAAATAAATAAAATAAATAAAATAAATGTATTGTGAGCCGCCCTGAGTCTTCGGAGAGGGGCGGCATATAAATTGAATTAAATTGAAATTAAATTGAAATTGAATAGGGAGCTGTTTGTTTGCTCTTAAACTGCTGAACAATAACACAGGTAGTCCTCGACTTACGACAGTTCGTTGAGTGACCGTTCAAAATTACAACAGCACTGAGAACAGCAATTTATGATCATTTTTTTCCCACAGTGAAATGACCTTTGCAGCATCCCCATGCGATCGTGCAATCAAAATACAGATGCTTGGCAACCTGGTTCATATTTATGACCATTGCTGTGTCCCAAGGCCATGTGATCCCCTTTTGCGACCGTCTGACAAGCGAAGCCAATGGGGAAGCCACTTAACAACCGGGTTACTAACTTATTATTATTTTTTTGCAAAAAGTTTTTAAATTTTTTTTCCAAACATACAAATTACATCTTTTCGGAACAGAGCTTTGATCCCGTCATCAATTTGTTCAGTTTTTGTCATCTTTAACAAAATTTTATCTATTCAATTTTGCCATAATACTTATTTCTTAATCTTAAATCACATATTCAATTAATACCATCTTTAAAAAAAATTATCACATATTTACTTAATCAAAACAATTACCCTTCTATTAACCCACCTTAAATCATAATTCAATTAATGTCTCTTAATACATTTCACAATTCTTATTCTAAATCCTCATTATTAACAATACAATTCAAACATGTTTATATTTCATAATGCTCATTAAATCTTTGTTCCACTCTTAATCAACTTTAAATCTTATCTTTAATCTTAAAAATATAGCAATTTAACCTTTAAACATAATTCTTAGTTCAAATAATGCTATTTAATGCAATTTCCCAATTATCCTAAATTCAATCTATTAAACCATATCATTTATATAACACCAATTAAGAAATTTTTGTTTATAAATCATAATCATATATTGTTTCAATTTTCTTTTTTTTTACTTAGATAATAAATGTTCAAATTATTACAATTGTTGTACATATTTAAAAAATATCCCAATTATTATAACTATCAATTTTCTAATTTAACCTTTTCTCTTATCCTTCCACTGTTAATCTCAATGTACTCATCTTTATTCCACTGTTAATCCCAGTGTAATCATCTTTATTTTTCTCACTGTTAATCCCAGTGTAATCATTTTTGTTCCACTATTAATCCCAGTGTAATCATCTTTATTTTTCTCACTGTTAATCCCAGTGTAATCATTTTTGTTCCACTGTTAATCCCAGTGTAATCATCTTTATTTTTCTCACTGTTGATCCCAGTGTAATCATCTTTGTTCCACTGTTAATCCCAGTGTAATCATCTTTATTTTTCTCACTGTTGATCCCAGTGTAATCATCTTTGTTCCACTGTTAATCCCAGTGTAATCATCTTTATTTTTCTCACTGTTGATCCCAGTGTAATCATCTTTGTTCCACTGTTAATCCCAGTGTAATCATCTTTATTTTTCTCACTGTAGATCCCAGTGTAATCATCTTTGTTCCACTGTTAATCCCAGTGTAATCATCTTTATTTTTCTCACTGTTAATCCCAGTGTAATCATCTTTGTTCCACTGTTAATCCTAGTGTAATTATCTTTATTTTTCTCACTGTTAATCCCAGTGTAATCATCTTTATTAGTCCTGATGCAGGTATCTATGAAGATTCTCAGTCATCCAGGTCATGGTTGCCCCAAAGGGACAACTGGATTTTCTTTGTTTTTCCTTGAAGACGTTTCGCTTCTCATCCAAGAAGCTTCTTCAGCTCTGACTGGATGGTGGAGAATGGAAGGATTTATTGCAGCTGCCTGCGAGGAATATAAATCCTTCCATTCCCCACCATCCAGCCAGAGCTGAAGAAGCTTCTTGGATGAGAAGTGAAACATCTTCAAAAGAAAAACCAGAAAGTCCACTTTTTTTTTTAAAATTTGATTTATATGCCGCCCTTCTCTGGAGACTCAGGGCGGCTTACAATGTGTTAAGCAATAGCTTTCATACTTTTGTATATTTATACAAAGTCAGTTTATTGCCCCCACAAACTGGGTCCTCATTTCACCTACCTTAGAAAGGATGGAAGGCTGAGTCAACCTTGAGCCTTGGAGAGATTCGAACCAGCAGTAAATTGCAGGCAGCTGTGTTAATAACAGGGTGCTTAGACCACTGTACCATCAAGGCTCTTGCCTCTTGAAAAAAAAAAAAACACATTTGGGACTATCTGATACAGGGGGATCTGGCTAGAGTTACTCAGATGCTCATCACCATTCATATAGACAGGCCTGATGCAGTGGTGGGATTAAATTTTTTTTACTACCAGTTCTTTGGGCGTGGCTTGATGGGTGTGGCTTGGTGGACGTGGCAGGGGAAGGATACTGTAAAATCTCCATTCCCTCCGCACTCCAGCGGAAGATTACTACAAAATCCCCATTCCCTCCCGATCAGCTGGGACTCGGGAGGCAGAGAATAGATGGGAGCGGGGCCAGTCAGAGGTGGTATTTACCGGTTCCCCGAACTACTCAAAATTTCCGCTACCCGGTTTCTCCAGAACTGATCAGAACCTGCTGAATAACACCTCTGGCCTGAGGAGAGGGGATCCAGCCCCCTCTCCTACATTGTTCTGGGCCCATGGAGCTCAAAGGGGGCCCATGAAGAGGAAAAATCTTTTAAAAATTTACAAAACCAAATTTTTAAAAAGAAAAACAATATTCTGCTAGGTTGGCAGAAGCTGGGACAAGTAACGGGAGCTCACCCAGTTACGTGGCACTAGGGATTCGAACCACTGAACTGCCGATCTTTCGATCGAGAAGATGAGTGTCTTAGCCACTGAACCACCGTGTCCCTGAGTGACTTCTACAACCCGTCAAATTACTTCATTGGGGAATGTCACCGGGTGACACACTTTGGGGAGAGGGGGAAACAGGGTCAGAGGCAAGGCGTGAAGGGGGCGAAGTCAGAGTTGGCTTCACCTAGGTAATGCTGACCAATCCTTGGCTCATTTCAGGAAGTGGTGATCAAACCAGTCAGTCCTAGAGGAGATCAACCCTGACTGCTCTTCAGAAGGCCAGATCCTGAAGATGAAACTCAAATACTTTGGCCACCTAATGAGAAGGAAGGACTCACTGGAGATGAGCCTAATGCTGGGAAAGATTGAGGGCAAAAGAAGAAGGGGACCACAGAGAATGAGGTGGCTGGATAGAGTCACTGAAGCAGTAGGCGTGAGCTTAAATAGACTCCAGAGGATGGTAGAGGACAGGAAGGCCTGGAGGAACATTGTCCATGGGGTCGCAATGGGTTTGACATGACTTTGCAACTAACAACAACAAAAATTAAACTTCCTCAACAGTTGCCACTAAAGACAACATTTGAAGAGAGGATTTTAGCATTTACAAATGTATAAGATTTAAGGTAAATATTACTTTTGCTCTTTTTCAGACACAGAAAAATGCAACAAATGTCCAGGAGAT